ACTCAGGATGCAACATAAAATGCGACTCATTTTTATGCACATGCATGTGATACCAATGGAGCAGAACTCCCAACTTAGAAATCTGCCAATAAATAGAGACATCAACAAGGCATAAGCCTTCAACTTTATATTTTCCAATCTAGGCCAACTTGACGAGCATCAGCTCCAACATGATATACTATGTATGCATCAACGACATGAAGGTAGCAACAACAACAATAATTCAACTTAATTCAACATTGGCCATAAGCCTGCAACTTAATATTTTGCCCATAAATAGAGGTAATAAAATCACCTGCTAATTCACATTTTTCAACAAAAACACCACCCAACAGATCAACCAAAAATTACTACAATAAATGGCATAATTATTCGGATTATTTTGACTAAAATCGGTTAATTAATTATCGGTCAAAAATTCTATTATTTATACTTTATACTAAATTTCTTATTACGAATCAGTTAAATTAATTATCGGCCAAATATTTTATTATTTCTACTTTATACTAAATTTCTTATTACGACTTGGTTAAATTAATTATCGATCAAAAATTCTATTATTTCTACTTTATAATTTCTACAAAATTATTTATTAATGATATTAAATCATTATTATAATATATATATATATATATATATATATATATATATATATATATATATATATATATATATATATATATATATATATATATATATATATATTCAATGTATATAAAAAGTTAATTTTTTCTTATAAATGAGACCGGAGGGAGTATCTGCTACTAAATTTAACTAAAAAAAGAAATCCATAACTAAAATATCAATAATTTAGTAAATATGTGTTATTATTCGGTAGTCTCAAATTGCTCTAATGACAACTCTAAATATGTCAGATTGACTCAAAACAAATAAAAGTATAACTTTTAATAACCCAAAACATATTGATAACTTTAACAACAGTATTGACAACTCTAACAATCCTATTGACAACTCTATTAAAATTGAAAATAATTTAAATTAATCAATTAACCCAAATAGTTATCTCCACCTCAAAACTGCTAAAAAAATAATATACTAATAATATTAAATTATTATTATTATACTAATAGAATATTATATATCATAAACTTACAATAGATTTGTTAATTTAAAACATAAGTTCTAAGTGTCAAAATTAGATTTATCATAAAAACATGATTGTTATAGTTCATTAGTTTTACGCTACAGTATTTTAATTTGTTGTCCCTAATTTGACATTGTGAGAGTGTCGCTACAGTACCGCAACAAAATTGCCACGCCTAACAAACCCAGAAGCATATTGCTACAATATCCAAGGCATAGGCACTTGTTTCCTTTTGCTACAATATGCCAAGAATATACATACTTATATAAGAATGAACTAATATAGAAACATGCTTATAACTATGTAGTGTTAAATTGAAAAATGTAGTGCTGCAGTATGTAAAATATTAAATTGGATTCTTACTTTATCCCTCAATTTCAATAATATATCAATTTTACAAACCCAATCCCACATACTATAAATCACACACCCTATTATAGAGTCAAAACCCCACCCTTATCTTGCATTTAGTGCAGCTCTGAGAAACTTCAATCAAATTTCTGGTGAATATGGCACTAGAAGCAATATCCTTATTCTTCTTCTCCTTTCATAAAACCCTTGTTCCTCTTTTCTTCTTTCCTGAGAACTGTATTTCTTCTCTTTCTCCTCTAATTCATTTATTCTATATAATACTACTATTTTATTTAATCATTAATAAACTCAAATGGGCTTAAGTCACATACCCCCCCTAATACTACACAACACCACCAATTAAAGTCCAATATCATAATTAAGCTTAATAGTAAAATAATACTTCAACTTAATTCCACCAAATTAGTCCGATTAATTATTATTCCAACTTAATAAAATAATTCTGACTTCGACGATAAAAATTTGAATTAATATAAAATATTAAAAATATTTAATTAAATAAATAATTAAATACCGGGGCATTACAAGCACGATCATCAAACAATTTATCAATGAAAGGAGATCTAAATCATCAACAATCGCCTTGACCTCATATAGAATCTACAATAACTTCTTCAACTTCCACCTGTGGGTGCACCTTCAGAGGCGGTCGATCCTGTTACAAACAAAGTCAAAAGCATATGTTAATTTCAAATTACCAACAATAAATAAAGTCACATCATCAGCATATCATATACATACCTCTCTCTACTATGATTTGAATGCCATGTGATCAATATATCTAGTGGGTACAAAATAGTCATCGGGCCTACCAAGAAATCATTCATCCGTGTGTATAAACTGCACTATCGAAGCCGAAGTAGTGACCCCTGTCTCAACCGAAGGAGTAACCTCCATATCATCTGTAACAAGCGTCTTAGTAGCCGTCTACGGAGTAGGCACCTTAGTAAACGTCTATAGAGTAACCTATCTTGTAATCAGATCCTCTACCTAAGAAGAATGAGACACCTCCGTCGCCTAAGAAGTATGTGGCACCACTGTCTCTGCCACCATCTTCATGTCATCCTGAATTGTTGGCTGAACATCATCGTCATCATCATCTCTCGTCCATCTAGATATATGTATAAATCCTATATGCCAAGTAGTGCAGGGTGCACAGAATTGATCGACCGATCGCCTATTATGAGACCCGGTTATGGCTGCACTCTCCGTCTGAAGACGCGAGTCCTCTATGTTGTCTCGCTTGAGCCCTCGCAACAACAACTTCAACTTTATCACGATGTCGAGAAGTAATCCTGCCATCTGTTCCTCTGGTTTATAGTAAAAATGCATACGTTTTTCGTTTTTTTTTAAATAAATAAAAAAATGCATGCATTTTCCTGGTATTTCAAAAAAACCAATAAATTATGAAAGGTTTTAAAAAAACTCAAAATATTTCATTGATTTTTGTGAAATAGATTTTAAAAGTTTATAAGGTTAATATGATAAAAATATGGTGTATGGAAGTCTCACATATAAGTGGGGCGAGAAGAAGACTTCTCTAACATGAGAGATGAACGGGGATTTTACTTGTCACCCCCATAATTATACTTGGCACCCCATTTTGTGGCACTTTTACGTTAATGTCTTTACTAAAATACTAGTAATATTGAAAATTATAGGTGCATATCGGAAATTTCGAAATCCACCGGAAATTTCATTAAAATTATAATTAATTACCGCAGCTGGTTACCAAAATTTTAAAATTTCTAGTACCAGAAATTCCAAATTTTGAGTGAATAGTTAAAATTTATCGAAAATTTTGAAATTTCCGGTAATTGTTAAAAAAAAATTGGAAATTTTAAATTTCCGTTATTTTTGCAGTTCAAGTTTTCTCATTTTCTCAGCCTAAACCGACATTTAACCTTTATACTATAAATGCCATAAGAGGAATTAATACTTTCAAATGCATATTTTCTTTATAAGTTCCTCCTTTCTCACAATCTATAATTAATTTATATTTCATCCCTCGCATTTCATTAGCAGAGTCAGAACGAATAATTACAACAATAATACCAAATTATTTATGAGTAGACTGTGTCCGTGCTAAAACTCCAGATTGAGAGTTAAATAGTAACAAGGGAATTTTTGAAAGGACAAAACTTAAGTACAATTTTTTGTGTGATTCTTACTATTTTCTAATAAAAATATGACAAATATATAATTTCTTCTTACACATATGCAAATTCCTCTTATTTTCATTCTTAAAATGATATTTAAATAAATTTTTTTAAATTTTCATTAGAAAATAGTAAGAACCATTCTTAAAGAATTATACCTAAATTTTTTCATTTTTAAAATTATTAAAATTAGGGGTGCCATATATAATTTGTGGGTGACAAATAAAATCCTCGAGATGGAGTCGTATTGTTAATTGAGGCCCAAGCCCGTTTTGGATCCATAAATTTCAACCCTAATCCCCTCCCTCATTCTCTTTTCACTCTCGAAATTTGCAAGCATCCTGTCTTCCAGCTCCGGCTTCAGTTTCGCGAAGGCTCGATTGGGTACTCAAGCTATTATCTTTCTGGTATGGCGTACATCTACTCATTACTAACTTCTTGAATTTCTATTCATTTCTTGCACGCATTGAATTTCGAATTGTTCCATATCCAATTAGGGTTTTGAGGTAGATTTGATCTCATTCATCGGTGAGCTCTGAATTTCAAATTCTTACCCTGTTTGTTATCGGTTGCATTTTCCGAAGAATCTGCTTAGTAAAGACGTTAGAATATTGACTTTTCGTTCTTCTTTATGTATTAGAAGGTAATCTCCGAAAGTGATTAGGGTTTCATTTCACCCGGGGTGAAATATGCATAGAGGTTGAAGATGCTGGTAAAAGGGTATTATAGTAAGGGATTTGTGTATTACATACACTGGTAGTTCAGATAGTGAGGGTATAGAAATGTAGTACCAGTACATGTCCAAGAGAATCAGTATATAAAACACACTAAGGGGTAACAACGTTAAGGTAACTTGTTGAGTATATGTCGATCATAATTTGATCTCATGACACCAATGCTTTCTTTATGATAGATGACAAGCGCAGCTTGGACAAAAATGAGCTTTGCAATCAAACATAGGAATATAGAGTTGGATTGGGAGTGGGAGAATCGGGTTTGGAGTTGTGGTTATTTTTTTAAATAATTGGAGATTCTTCCTCACTCTCAGAAGGTGTTGTATGCCTGCTAGTGTTCTGGAAAGGATGAGGAGATCAAATTTATTTTCAATATTGTTATTGCTTTGGAGCTTCTTGGAGCAAATGAGCAATGGAGCTTGTGGAGCATGGCTCACCTCAAGGATTGCTCTATTGGTTTGCTTCATAGTTTTGGTTTTATTTACTTTTGTTTGTGTAATCATTAGAGTAATGATGATAGGTAGATGTTTCAGGTTTAGGCTGGGCTTCAGGAAGTAATAGATTTACATTTTGCTGATGAGCTACTGTTTTTTTGTTTGTAGACGAATTGTGTATTTTCTCCAATCAGATATGAGTAGTCGCTTTTCTCGCACAATCTATGTTGGCAACCTGCCCTCTGATGTAAGGGAATCAGAAATTGATGATCTATTCTACAAGGTTAGATTGGTGTACTTCTCTTGTGATTCGAGTTAAGGTGCTTCGTTCATGATATTTAGGGTTTAGGGTTTTGGACTTTTTATTTTCACATATTGTGTTGAACCTACTTTTACACCCTTGTAAATTTTGCACTCTGAATTTCTTTACTCAAACCCTAAATATTTTCATTTCTATTTTGTTTTGTTTTAATTAACTGAAAATCAATTCTTATTACATACGAGCAAAGATAAATATTAAAAATCATCTTAAATTCTTGTTTTAGCTTTATTAAACCTGTTTACCTTTGAATGATCTATAGTTTATTAAATTTTATCATCCTAAGGATTTGGCTTTGGCCCTTAATTATAGCCTTTGCTTAATGTTAATCTTATATGTAGTTTTGAGGGTCAATGAGTGGAGTTGGTTGTTGTGTACTAATGTATTCATCTTACAATGGTTTTCCATTATTCCCTCAACAGTATGGCCGCATAATGGAAATTGAATTGAAAGTTCCTCCTCGCCCTCCATGTTATTGTTTTGTTGAGGTAATCATCATTACTCTCTTCTATATTTATTTGCGAGCAATGCTTTGAACCCCCTTTTTGACCACTAATTTACTTGTATTTTGTCTTGGTAGTTTGACAATGCTCGAGATGCAGAAGATGCGATTCGGGGTAGGGATGGTTACAACTTTGATGGTTGTCGATTAAGGGTAAGGAGCTGTTCCAACTTTTGTTCTGTGAGGTGAATACTTTTGTCACAATGACTCATTTATTATTGTTGTAGGTGGAGCTTGCCCATGGAGGTAGAGGGCCATCATCAAGTGATCGACGGGGGTATGGTGGTGGTGGTGGCGGAGGAGGAGGAGGAGGAGGTGGCGGCGGTGCTGCTGGTGGGGGCCGATTTGGTGTCTCACGCCATTCTGAATTTCGAGGTGTCTATTTAGAGATTCCTTTTTTATTTTTGTTTCCATTTAGAGTGTTTGCCCATTTAGCTCTGAATTATAGCATGTTATCACTCGTTAAGTAATAATTTAAATGTTCTGTCAAAAAGAGAATTCAAATCTTCTGGATTCGTAGCATTCTAAGATTTTCATACTGAGAATTGAGAACTATGGACCCAATGTCCGCGACTCTTGTCTTCATGTTTATGAATTTGTAATTTTCAGAATTTTTTTGCATGTGTCTGTTTTATTTATGTCGTTCAATAATTACCAGTTTTAGAATATATTTTGCTGTCATAATTTTCATGATTTTCTATACAACACAAATCGTAGTCTTTATGGTTAACTGCAGTTATTGTTCGTGGGCTCCCATCTTCTGCATCCTGGCAAGACTTGAAGGTATCGAAATGTTCACACCGAAAAATAACAAATAACAAATACTCAAATCATCATTACCTATAATTTTAATATCCGGTTTCAGGATCATATGCGAAAAGCTGGTGATGTTTGTTTTGCTGAAGTTTCCCGTGATAGTGAAGGTACACATTCATTTTGTGTTGTGTTTTGCCATGCCTTTATCAGGTTTTAATCATTTTCCATATTTATGCTGTTGTATGGTCCATGTTTTATATTTTCTGCTCCATCTGAGTGGTATAAAAGAAACCAAGACCCACTAAAAGATATTAACTTGGTTGAAGCTTCCATCTGTTTTGTATTTAACCAATATATATTATCACGGGTTGATGCTCCCCTCAGAGGAAACCACAATTAATCTGCAGAGATAATCAGCCCCAAGTCTAGTTTGTTTGCCATTAATGACCATGGGGGTAGTCAATGGCATTGGCATATCTTGTGCTGCTGAGATGTAGAGTTGTAGACCTTATTCGGCTGATCTTGAATGTATTTAAGACTAATCTTGAATGTATTTAAGACTAAGAGAAAGAAGTAAATCATGGTTAAAATGCTGAACCTTATTCCCGAGAATATAGTCCAGTATTCAATTGTTCCAGTGCAAACTCTGATTATAGTTTAGAGACCAAGTGCTGAATGAGAGGTAAAGCATCACAAGTTATGTGATGTCTATACGATTTCCAGAGTAAGCCTCTGTGATATCAGATGACTACTTCTAACTTCATATTTTTGGGAATACGTTATTTTTCCAGTATATTTCTGTGCTTGTATTATAGTTTTCATTCCTATCACACATACCGCTGTTTTCTGTTCAGGGACTTTTGGCCTTGTTGATTACACTAACTATGAGGACATGAAATATGCTGTAAGTGTTGCATTTTGATGAATTTTGTTAAGATTGGTACTTGATTCCCTTTCGACCTGTCCTCTAACATACTTCCTTTTCCACAGATTCGGAAACTGGATGACACCGAGTTTAAAAATCCTTGGGCAAGATCATATATTCGGGTAACCAGATATGCACTAATATTTATAGAACTTGTCTGTGTGAGGCTTAAATCTACAATATTATTTTAAAATGTGATTGTCGCATCAGATCTTTCAAACTCTTACATGGTGAAAGGTCTTGCCCCCTTGTTTATCTTGTCTTTGTTTCTTTCTATAAGATGAAGTTGCATATGGCACTTGATGCTTGACTATGTGACTATTTCACAGTTTGTATGAGAAGTATTGTCTGGAGAATTATACATGAATAAAACTATTATCTTGCAGGTGAGAAAGTATGAGAGCAGTCGTTCAAGGAGCCGCAGCAGAAGCCCCAGCAGGAGCAGGAGTCCAAAAAGGGCTAGAAGGTGCTGCTTCCACTCTCTGATGTTGACTTGTGGTACATTGTTATTCCTTTTAGACATACATACTTACTATGGAAAATTGTGTTATTTCATTATGCAGTAGATCTTTGGAGCGATCTGTGTCAAGGTCACGATCTATTTCTAGATCCAGATCAGCATCACCAATCAAGGTTTCAAGGTACAAAAAGCGTGCTGTTCTTGAATATCATTTTATTTTTATGTTCATGCAAATCCCTAATTTTTTTCATGTACTTAAATTATTTATCCAATTACAGGCCAAGATCCCGAACACGTTCACCCTCTCGTTCAGTATCTCCACCTCCACGATCACCACGCCAGGTATTTATAATTTATTTAATGATTCAGAATTTTTACCAGAACAGTGAAATTGGATGCATTTCTATTAACTCTACTTAACATTTTCCTGTTTTTTGTTGCAGGTTCTGTCAGGGAGCGGTTGATTTTTGATGAAAATGGTGGTGATCTTGGAAGCCCCAGCACTATTCTGGGAAAATTGGTGTAATGTTTGAGTTGATTTTAATTGTTTAATGGATGATTATTATACCAGAGTTATTTTTATGATTATCAGTTTGGTTATCCTGTAGGGTTTAAACTAGACTTGACTTGCTACTACCATTGTCTTGTTTCTATTGAACATGAATGTTGGATATTAGACTGCTTACTATTCTTTAGCATTTTACAAGTGGCAAGTGTTATACCGGCAACAAGAGAGCTCTATGCTTTTGTTTGATGAATCCTCGTTAAAATCAAAGTTTTATATTGTCTCCAATAAGCATATTTTTGGAAGAGTTGCTGGTAAGTGTGCATGTATGGATTAGTGACGAGATTGATAAAATTACCATGAGTTATTGTAATTTTTGGAAATAAACATATTTGAAATCTCGCAACACTAAAGTATAAAAAATCAAAACATTAGAAATCACAAGGGTATTAGGTTGAAAAAGGCAAGGTGTCACGTACCCTTTAATTAATAAGATACATACCCAATCCAATAAAAACATTCTACTTTCTGTTTATTGAAGTAGAAAAATATGTAAATGGCAAAAGCTAACGTGTGCCTCAGGATTGGTCATGCATTATTAAATCCTCCTAATCTATTGAATATATTTTTTATCCAATAAATTTAACTAATAGAATCTACTCTTTTATAGATTTATAAATAGGTTGGGAGGATTATAAAGATTAATAAATAGGTTAGGAGGAGAGATTGCTATTTTGATGTTTATGAGGAGATCGATATTTTGGAGATCGATATTTTGGTTAACAGATATTCTAGTGTATGAGTGGATAGGAGGGAAATATGTTTGTGTGTGACTTAATTGAAATTTCTAGAAAATATATTTGTGTGGACTTGATTGAAATTAATTTCTAGAAAATATATTTGTGTGGACTTGATTGAAATTTCTCTGTTGGTGGGAATGATGTCTTTGAGTTTATTGTAGAATAGGAAGTTCTCAAAGTTCTTCAAGTAAAGTAGTCCAACATGAAAAAATATGTTCAGACAATTGAAACTTTTATGGTGAGTCCAAAAATTTATGAATAGTAATGTTGTATCTCTTAAGATTATAAATGCAATTTTTAAGAAGATTAATTTTGTCGTAAAAAATTAACGATGTAGTTTGTTATCCGTTTATCTTCTATTTTTTATAAACTTTATCATATTAAAATAAAAGTAATTTAAATTTCTCTTTAAAAATAAATAAATAAATAGAATATTACATGTTGGAATCACACTATATGTTTGTTTTTTCACGATTATTAATTAAATTGGCTTCACTCAGCTATGATAAATATAAATAAGTCAATGTATATTTAACATTTAAAAAAAAAAAAGAGGTGTCTTTTTAACTTTTTCATTATGATAATAATTTTTTTCGGTACAAGAGTACAATTTTGTATCAACAAATTCAAAAAGAGAAAATTAGAAAGGTTGATCCAAAACGTGGCCGAGAATGCAATATAAAAAGGGGAAGAAAGGGCTTGACTTGATAGACTAAAAACAAAAGAAGTGATTGACATGAATTACATGTTGCCACTATATATATATATATATATATATATATATATATATATATATATATATATATATATATATATATATATTGGCGTAAAAGGTCTGGATCGTGTAAAGAAGGGTAAAATTTTATGACACTCTTGAACGTTGAAAATGCGACTACAGTCCAAAGGTCAAACTGAAACAAAATTTCTCTGTATTAAAATGGCTTGTCTTGCATTTAGTTTTTCAAACACGATATGCGTTTGCAAGACTAATCTAATCCTCCTCTTCTCCCGTTAAACCTATAACTTTTGTGCATTGGTTTAATAAGATTTTTTAATATTGATTGTGTTTGAAAATTTGAGAAGAAGAAAAAGGGAGGATTTCGAGATATATATAAATATATATATATATAATTTTTTTTTCTTTAAATATTTTTTGGTTAGAATGATAAAATAATATTTATTATTATTGTATTTTTAATTTTTAAATATTATAATAATAAAAATTATATTTAAATAAATTGTTTAAATCCTTCAAAAATATCATTTAATATAAACTTTGAATTCTCTGTTCATCAAAAACAAATTCTCTGTTCATCAATTTTTTTTCTTCTCTAAAGTCCTTCAAACTAAAATCTTCCATTATATTTTTTAAAGAATTCTCCTCTGTTTTTCTCCAAAGTCTCAAATAAAGTATATATGGATTTGTTTGAGAGTTTAAAGGGAAAGAGAGATGATAGTTTATAAAAAAAAAAGAAGGATTAATTAGAAAAAATCAAAAGATTTTGGTTGTGAGAGTTTTTATAAATTTGTTTTTATTCTTAATACTAAAAACCTCATAATTTGACGAACTCAAAATTTATATCGAAGGAGAATTTTAAAGGGTTTACATGATTTTTTCAAGAATAAGAATCCATTGACATCAGATGTAAGTTTAAAAGACATATTCTATTAAAATGATTGATCAAACATTCTTATTAAATGAAATAAAAAATATGGCCTATTCTATTTTCTTAAAAAGTAGACTATTTATATGATCATTTGATCGAGTGCTATTAACAGTTGAGATTTGGAGTTTGTGTCAATAGATTCTGCCTCATTTTTTAATATATTTTATGTTGTTATAAAATTATGAAAATTATAAATATAGTAATGATTAACACTCTATTATCATTCTATACAAAATTATTCATTTAAAAAAATGTTAAATATCTATATTTTAAAAAAAAATTGTTTTCTGAAACATTCTTTTTCCCTTCTCTCCAAACTAATAAGACTTTATTTGGGAGTTTGTAGGGGAAGGAATGAGAGAGATTTGAAAAAAAAATGATAGAATGAAAAGGGTTTGGAGGAGGATTTTAGAAGACTTATATAAATTATTGAAATATAATTTATGTTATCATATTATTCTAAAAATTTTAAAAAATGACAATAATAAACATTTTTTTATCATTCAAAATAAAATAATTTTTTAAATATTCACAGTTTTCCTATAATTAAAAAAATATTTTTCAAAGTCCTCCCTTCTCTTACACTCCAAACTCCCGAATAAAATCTATGATTTTTTTTTGGAGTTTGGAGGAGAAGAGAGGAAAGAACTTAAAAAAAGAAGAAGAAATGAAAGATAAGAATAGAAGGATTTTGTTTGAGTGAGTTTTGGAGGACTTGTTTTTATTCACGACATCAAAAATCTTATAATTTGAGGAACTAAAAAATTATATTGGATGATGATTTTGGAGGCTTTAATAAATTGTTCAAATATAATTTTTATTTTTATAGTATTTCAAAAGTTAAAATCATGTTAATGATAAACATCATTTTATCATGCAATACAAAATCTTTTTTTCCGGTAAAAAATTATTGTTTACAAGTGAGCATCATGGAAAATGGGAGATCGAGAAATTTTTCGATAACAACGAATTCTAGTTGTGGAAAATTAAGATGCAAGTAATTTTAATTCAAGAGAAGTGTATTGACGCTTTGAAGAATGGAGCATTCATACTTGCATGGCTTACACAGGTATATAAGATCGATATGATGGATAAGGCCAAGAGTGTCATTATCTTGTGCCTCGGGGATAAAGTTCTAAGAGAAGTCGTTAGGAAGCAAACTGCGGTTGCTATGTGGGTAAAACTTGAATCATTGTATATGACCAAGTCTTTGGCTCATAGGTTGTGTCTAAAACAACAACTATATTCATTTTGAATGGTGGAGAATAAATCTATAGTTTATCATCTTACAAAATTTCACAAGATTATTGATGATCCTGAGAATATTGAAGTGAAGATTGAAGATGAAGACAAGAATTTGCTCTTATTAAGTTTATTACCCAGATTCTTTGAGCCCTTTAAGAATGCACTTCTTTATGTTAAGGAAGTTACTATCACTTTGAATGAAGTCCAAACGGAGGTAAAATCCAAAGAATTTTCAATGACGAAAGATTTGAAGATTGAAGAAAGTGGTGAAGGCATAAGTGTTTCAAGAGGAGGAAGTGAGCATAGAAGCATGTCTAAATCAAAGAGGTTTGACAAATCAAATGTAAAATGTTATAATTGTCAAAAACCAATCACTTTAAAAAGGGTTATCTTGAGAGAAAGGTCAATGAATATTTTATTCAAGTTGCAGTTGCCTTGGACGAGGAAGGTTATGAGGATGTCGATGCACTAGTTGTATCGAGTTTGAAAATTGAAGATAGTTGGGTCATTGACTCATGTTGTTCTTATTACATGTGTCCAAGAATAAAATACTTTGAAACTTTGAAGATGCTGCAAGGTGGAGTAGTTCACCTTGATGATAATAATGCATGCAATGTTTATGGTATTGGTACGGCCAGACTTAAAATGTTTGATGATCGTGAACTTCTTATTCATAATGTGAGGTATGTTTCAAAACTCAAGAGAAATTTATTATCTATACGTATGTTTGATGATCTAAGCTATTATACTAAAGTTGAACATGGAGTGTTAAAGTTTTTGCGTGATGAATTTATTATTGTTAAAGGGTCTAAAATACGTGGTCTATATATTTTAGAAGGTTCAAATGTTATTATTCATTTATCAATAACCAGTGGAGACTTTCATAAAAAGGAAGAGCTATGAGATTTGAGTTTAAGGCGTTTTGAATGCCTTGAATTAGTTTCAGAGGAGTATAATGAATTTTGTAGAAAACAAAAGATAAAAATACATGTTACCGCTGAGTTGTTATTGAGTTTTTGTGCTAAAACTGAACTTAAAACAACTTACTTGGTTGGTAGAGAATTTCTTCAGAGAGAGAATAGTGAAAACTAATGGAGAAACCTATCAGAAACTATAACTGAGAAAACTCATTTTGAGATGGAGTTTCCTACTATAGTAATAGTAGTAGTGATAGAGAGGTTACAAAGATCTCTAATTATATTTTAACTTATGATAAGGTAAGGAGGGTGATTGTAACGTCTCAATAG